AGTTTTTTTCAATCATTTCACCCCAAGCAAGACAAAAGGGGTTACTGAGTGTTAGAGAATATGAGAAAAAAATACTATTAATGAGAGAGAACAATACAAGAACAAGAATTAAGAAGCCAGAAGATAATGATTGATATTGCATTTAAATTTTTGAAGATCCTTGTTGACTGGAAAGCAAGAAGCTTGAAGAGAGTTCCACAAGTAAGAAGTGAGAAAGTAGAAAGTCTTAACATAGAACTTACAGTTACAGCTAGCTGTTTTGACTGTAAAATTAAGGGACCTTTCTGCCAGTCTAGTGCTGTGCTTAAATATATAAAGTCTAGGTCCCATAGAGAAAAGTGCATCTGGACAATTACCATGAAAGTATTTATAGATGAGGCAGAGTGAAGAGTGATGGCTGAAGTAACTGAAGCTAAGATGCCAGGTCAGGAATTTTGAATGGATAGAGAGCAAAACTTTCAAAAATCATGCTATCCATATTAGGACAATAATTCTATAATAGCTCTAAACCAGATATGGCAGTAATACTCCTTTTTTAGTCTAATCTGTAATCATATAACAATAAAGTATGGCAAATGGAGTTAGGTACTTCCTAAAGTGATAAAGCATCTTTAGCAATGGATCGCATATATGAGTTCAACTTGTGATCTGGGGTGAACTTGTGTCCCAACAGACATTTAAATTGTTGAGCCTCATTAAGAATGCAAACATTTATTGTCAATGCAGAAAAGGTCTGAATGGTGATGATGAAATGATACTAGCTTAGTTTTTGAGAGAGTGAAAGTTACAAAGAAGTTTTTCCCCCACTTGACTGTTAGAACATGGTCAGGGAAGAGATCTGCAAAGCTTTGTTCCTCTTGATTTTTGGCTGTGCATCCATAAACTGTGATATCATCTGCATAAATGTTTATTAATCATCTGAAAATGTTCCTATGTAGATTGTTAATAAAAAGCAGAGTGGGTAGGATGACTGGCAATACACACGGACCTACCTTTAACAAAGGATTTGATGATTGTGTAAACTCTTTCAAGAACTGGAGAACTTGTGTAGCAAATACCTTTTCAAAAGCCATTAAGATATGTAAGGCAATTGATCAGGTGACAAAACTATCATTCAGCACTTATCTGATTCTGTAGGTAATAACTGTTAAAAGATTCACAGTGGACCTAGACCTGTGAAACCCATTCCGGTTGTCACTCAGGTGGTTGTTTTCCGTGAGGTTATCAACTGCCTACTTGTAGATAATAGTTTGTTAATAATACTAAAGAGACTAGTGGGGCAATATTGCTATGGAAATTAACTGTACTTGTAAATTTAAAATGAAGTCTCTTGTTATTCATAGAAATAATATAATTATTTGCAAATAAATAAATAAATAAAGGGGAAACTCCAACTACATTTCCAGTTTAAAGTCAGCTTTACTTGTACTACTACAATCCCTAACCAGTAGGAGTCTAATGTTAAATAATTTCTGAATATACTATTTACAAAAATTGTTTTTTGTAATAAAGTATAGGAATGTTTATGTGAGAAGAAGAAAAGAAAAAAAGATTTTGACTCACAAAGAAAACAGTGCTCAGCTGCTATATAATATCAGTCCTCCTGTATGGCAATGAACACGATTTACTTTTAGATGAAGAGGAGACTTTGTGCAATAGAGATGTGGTTCTACAGAATGCTGGTGAGAATATCATGGATGGAAAAGGAGCAACATGGAAGTTTTAAGGAAAATGGGGAAAAAAGGACACTCTGACCTAGAATGAGAATGTTACAGTTGACATTTCTAGGACACATAATAAGAAAAGAAAATTTAGAAAATTTAACACTCACAGGATGTATTGAAGGGAAAAGGGACAGAGGGAAACAATATATATATGTGTGTGTGTGTGTGTATACATATATATATATATATATATATATATGGGGGGGCTGTATGTGTGTACATGTAAACTGAGAGAGAGTGTGAGATAGAGAGTGCTGTGTGTGTGGGTGTAGTGAGAGAGTTATGAAAGATAAAAGGAGAGAAATTGAGGATGCACAGAAAAGGGAGAGAAATGGAGAATAGGGAAAGAAAAGAAAGAAGATTATATGAAAAACGGAAATTAAAATAAGCTTTACATTATTATCCTCTTTAATAAATTACATTTGAATTTTTAACAACTATAAATTCACAACAATTTTCCTCTTTTTTTTTTCTACTTTGAGAGTCAGTCAAAGTCTAAATGCTCACATCTCACACTACTACATACCATGCCAGGCTGAGGGATATTTTCCTTCTTTGTCTTCCTATTGTAATTTTGGATTTTAACTTCACCCTTGACATTTTGCTCTTTCATTCACCTCTTATCAAAAGCTTATTTAATAACATTTTTTTTTAGCCAATAAATGGTTTTACTTTTTTGTTCTTGTTTTCATCTACTTTATCAAGATATTTTCAATCTCTCATATTTTTTCTTTTGTTCTTTTACCCTACAACCTTTGTTTTTTTCATTCCTTTGCTTCTTTCTTTTGCAATTTTCTTTTCTTTTTACATCTTTTCTTTCTTTTGCATTTCATTCTTTCTTTAGAACCTTTCAATTTTCTTTATTTGTTCTTTACTTTTGTATATTTTCCTTTCTTTCTTTCTTTCTTTCTTTCTTTCATTTGTTTGTTTGTTTCTTTCATTTTTTCAGACATTTCTTTCTTTGTTTTCACACCTTTCTTCCTTCTGCATATTTTTTCATTTATTTCAATTCTTCCTTTTTCTCTTTACTGTCTTTCGCTCCTTTTTTCTTTTGCACTTTTCCTTTCCTTATTTTGCTTGTTTTCCTTTCTTTCTTTCTTTCTTTCTTTCTTTCTTTCTTTCTTTCAGACCTTTCTTTCTTTTTTTCACACCTTTCTTCCTACTGCATATTTTTTCATTTAATTCCTTTCTTCCTTATTCTCTTTATTTTCTTTCGCTCTGTTTTTCTTTCTCACTTCTTCTTTCCTTATTTTGCATATTTTCCTTTCTTTCTTAATTTCTTTCTTTCAGACTATTACTTCTTTCTTTCTTTCAAACTTTCCTTTTCTTTTGGACATTTCTTTTTTTCCTCCACATTTCTTACTTTTTACCTTTCACAGTTTTCTTTCTTTCAAATATTTTTTGTTTCTTTTCTTTATTTTGCATATTTTCCTCTTTGCCTATTTAACTTTCTTACATTACAAACTGATTTGTTATCTGCACTTTGACTGACAGACTTATCTGCTCTCAGTTTTTTAAAGACTGCACTTGGTTTGGTAACTGCATGTCATAAGAATATAAGTAGTCCATGTTTCTTGAAGTCAGAGCATTTTCTATTAAGCTGGACATTTCTCAGATGTTACTTTAACATGGGAATTTCTATTTGTGCTATTTACATTGTTCAGACTGTTGCCCTCATCTTTATTGCCAAATTCACAATGTTTCAGCTGATGTACACTCTGGCCTTCTTTAGGTTATATATGTTGGAATTTCAAATGAACCCTTTATTGTATTAAACCATTACACTGTTGGTAGGGATGAGAAATGATAAAAAACTTTAACAGCATTTGCTTTGTGATAGGACAATGACATTAGATTAAACCCTCAAAACATCTGTAGCAATTGAGGTAGTCACAAAGTTCTCATATTCTTGGGCCCAAAGTGAAATTAGATTGAAGTGTCCTGTTTCCTTTGACTTAGGAAGAAGTTCCATTGAAATAAAAGGTATTACTGGTTGAATTTCATTCAGTGTTTAATGATGAGATAGGCTGATTGAAAGCTTTTAAAGTGAAGCTAATAGTTGATTAGGCAGCAACACCAAAAGCTAATCCAGTACCTAACTTACTAAAGGACTGAAACCAGAAAAGAACTTTATTAACTAAAGACAAGGTATTATTTAAAAGTTGAATATTATTGTTGGGCTCTACTTGTACTGATACCCAAAGTCAATACTAGAACAGTTTGTGTGGCATCTATTGAAACAAACAAACAAAAATAAACAAGTTTATTTATTTATTTATTATTATTATTATTATTATTATTATTATTAAACTAGCAAATAGAAGTGTAGTGAAAAAGATAATCAATTACCCCGAGAAAAAGCTCATGTTCTGGGTGCGATCTGCCGAAGAAAAATTACCAAAAAGTAGTTAGCAAAAATCTACTTCAATGACTAGAATCTATGCTAATGTTCTCCCCTCCCCTGAGTGGTGTGACCAATCAGAAAGATCTCTCGATGAATCAAAGCCGTTGTTTTTCGCTTATAAAGGCAGAAGATTTTCTGAGCTGGTGAGCTGAACATGCATTTTTGCTTGTGAGAAGTGAAGGTTGGTCATGTGACCCCATTTTGTTGTTTCTACTTTGCTTGTTGGACTGTTACGACGGGCTATCGTTTGAACTGCGATTTGGCTACAAGTGTTGCGGTGAAGAAACAGAAGAAATCTATTGCAGTTGCTACTATAAGTTGACAGTCTTTTCTTTTCTTTTGTTTACTACAACAAGAAGGCAATAAGGCCACTAAAACACAAGGTGTTACTGAATGTGGAATAATATGAGGAAGGAAAATATTGCTAAGGGGTGAGAACAATAAAAGAATAGGAATTAAGAAACCAGAAGATAACAACTAATATTACATTTAAATTTTTGACAATCAAAGTTGACTAAAAAGCCAGAAGCCAGAAGCCAGAAGAAAGTTCCACATGTGACAAGTGTGATAGAAGAGACTGATTACGTAAGACTTATAGTTACATTTAGCCATTTCAACTGCAAAATAATTATAATAATAATCTTGCTGCCAATTTATTAGTATGTTTAAATTTTAAATTCATAAAATCTTAGTGCCAAAGAGGAAAGCTCATCAGAATAATTACCATGGAATTCACAGGGAAGTTATGTTTTGATGATGTGAAAGATGCCAGGTCCAGACCAATAATATTGCTGATTCTTCTTTGTAGTTTATCAAGAATATCTAAATATGTAGCAGAAGCACCAGAGCAAATATGGCAGAATATTCAAAGCATGTATGAATGTCCTTTGTTCTTTCCTTTCATCGTTTTGTATTTCCTTCTTTTTATCTTTTCTTTCTTCTTTCCTTATTTCTTTTTTTTTCTTACTTCTGTTTTTTCATCTTTCCTTTTTTCTTCTGTCTGTTATCTTTGCTTTTTCTGTTTTTTCTTCTTTTTTCTTTCTTCCATTCTTTCTTCTTTTTGTTCTTTATCTCATCTTTTCTTTCGTCCTTTCTCCCTCCATTTGATCTTTCCTTTCTTCTGTTCTTTCTTGCCTTCATCTTTCCTTTTTTTTTTTCCATCTTTTTATCTTTCTTCTGTAATTTCTTTTTTTCATTTCTTACTTCCATCTTTTCTTCTTATCTTTCTTTCTTTCTTTTTTTTTTGTTTTTCAGCCTTCCTTCCTTCTGTCTTCTTTTTTTCTTTCCTTCTCTCCTTGTTTTCTTCTGTCTTTTCTTCTCTCCTTTCACCTTCCTTCCCTCTGTCCTTTATTAATTTCAACTATATTTTACGTTTCCTTTAATTTATCTATTTCAATTATTTATTTTTTACCCCTTTCTTCATTTTTTTCATTTCTCTTTTTTCTTTCAATTTTCATTTATCACCTTCTTTTTCACTTTTTGACTTTTCTGTTCATTTCTGCTTTCTATATTATTTTTTCATTCTATTGTTCATTTTTCTTTCTAGCTTTTTTTTATTTGTTATCTCCCTTTTTTCTTTTTATCTTTTCTTCACCTCACCCTTTAAATTGACTACTTACCCTCTGTTCCCAACATCCATCATTTGAATCCTGCACATTAAAACATTCCTTCACTAAAGTATCATCAAATTACAATAAGTAGTACAAAAAATACACTTACATAATCATCTGCCAGGATTTCAAATTAAACAGAAGAGAATTACTGTTGCTCTATACCACCATCTTTGCAATCCCAACTCCTAGGGTCAACTGGTAGGGCTTGACATTTTAAAAAGGGGATTCTATTTATTCATTGAGTTCCTTTGTTAATTAATGAAATAGGGTACTCATTTATAGACATCAATACACATATCTTTATGATTACAAGCTTATATAGGTAGATAGATACGGATAGATATTAATGGTCAGCAATATATGTTTGAAATTATTTTTTAATGATTTTTAGTACGCTTGCTCCTCCATTTTTAATTGTCATCGTTAAGACCTTATAATAATTGTCTTTTTCTCCTCCTACTTTATTTTTATTTTCCCCCTTTCACTTTTCTTTTCAGCTCTATACACTTCTCTCCTCCTCCATATTATGCTAATTTTTTCTCTCTTGTGTTTCCATTACCTTCCTCTTTCCCTTACTCCTATTCACTTTTCACTCCCATTTTGATTTCTCTACTCTCTTTCTTTTCATTTCTTTCTATTTCTTATTTTTCTCTTTCTGCTTCTTACTGCTTATTTTCTCAATTCTTTCTTTCTCACTCCCTTTTCTTCCCTCCTAAATTATATTTCACATATAATGATGGAATTCATTCATGGGTTAGGCTCAGTGTTCAGGAAATGGAGTGGTGGAAAAGAGATCTAGAATTGTTTCTGTTTTTTTTTTTTGTTTATTTTTAAATGTCTTTTTTTTATTTGTTTCATTTCATTTTAAATGTAGCCTGGGGAATGCTTTTTAAGTGAAAGGTAGGGTTGAAATTCACTTTTCCAATTGTAGCTATGGAGGTACTCTTTTTCAAAAAAATTTGAATCTTTGAATAATAATTCCATTTCTGTATAATTCCATGACCGTTTAGGACTCCACATATTCTGTTTCTTTTCATCTGGGAATTGCCATGAATGTTTTGTATGGTTTCTTGCTGTCTTCTTCATGGTTTCGAATTCAGAGTTGTCTTTTTCCTAGATTGTTTGTCATCCAAGGCTAAAGGCTGCAGTTTACTCTGCTATTTAACCCATAGCTGGGAGAAGATTATATAAATGCATGTCTTTCCCATAGGTATTTATGTGAAAGTGAATGCAAGAAACTTGGTTGGAATTTGAACTAGATTTACCAATTTTTAAAAAAAATTTTCACCCCAAGTAAGGCAATAAAGTCACTACTGAGCATGATAGAAAATGAGAAATCATTAGTGAGAAGAAAGGACAATAAAAGAATGGAACTAAAAAAAGACAAAAGATTATGATGGACATGTCATTTAAATTTTGAAAATCATAGTTTACAAAAAAGCAAGAAACGGGAAAAGAATTCCACAAGCAAAAAGTGCAAGAGAAAAACACCATTAGAGTTATGCCAACATCTAGCTATTTCAAAAGAAAAATGGTAAGACCTTGATGCCAATAGCTGCTAATATGGATAGCACATGTAACTCAAAGAGGAAATATTAACATAATCAAGATGATGATATTCCATGCTACTTGAAATAAAAGTTTAAGAAAGAAACCTCTATCAATATGGAAAGAGCAATAACATTTAATAGTTTACACCTGTGGTCTCTAACCTTTTTAATACCATGAATCAGCTTGATGCTGAGCAATTTCTCCATGGACTGGTGTGTAATTTAAGTGCATTTCAATAAAGAGAACAACAATAAAAAGAGCAATTTATAGATTTGAGAAATCCATTTTCCTGAAAACTCTTTTAAAAGAAAAGTTTTATAAATTTCAACTGAAAGTAGCACTGGCTGTTTGATCAATGAAGGCCAGATATTTCCATATAAGGAAATGGCTAATATTACTGTTACCATTAGGAAGAACAGATTATACATTTTGATCCCAATTCACATATGCAAAATGCTATATGTTTAAGAACCACAAAAATATTCCTTTATAAGCCAAATTAATTGAAAAAATTTCAGATCAGAATTCAGCTTATAAGGATATGTTAAGCATATTCATACACCTTTGCACATTTCTGTAAACAGGCAGGGGAAGTTAGTTTCATTGGAAATGTTTTAAGGTGATAGTAATGTATCAATTAGTGTTACAAATTGCTTTGGACAAGGTTACTATTGACCAACAGTTTGTAGTGGTGTGATATGCTGCATACCCACAGAGAAAGGGAAAGTGTGATTTTATCTCAATTTCAAGTGTTTCTGTTTGATAGACCAGCAGTAGTGGGAAGCAAAGGGATTTTTGGGTATCAAACGATAACAAAACCAGAAATAATGTTTATCTGGGTGCTGGTCTATATTAATAGTCATGCTTTGGATCAGGGAGAGCTCTGGTCCATCTGCAGGAGATGGATATGTCCACTGCACAGTTCTGAAGCCTCTATTTTGTATTGCCAGTCACGACATTGGGATGAGCAGATGAGTGAGAAGTTGGTAGGAGGAAGAACTGACATAGCAGATGTTTTGCCAAGTATCCTCTACCTACTTACACTGATGAATAGAGGAACCCCTCAATAAAACACCTACCTATAATATGGGAAACATGGTATGTATTCCTATTTCTTGATGTTGCATTTCTTTCACCGTGTTAACTTGTAAGTACACTTCACACTCTTCCCCAACTTTCAGCAAACACTGACAAGATTGAGAATTGGATTGCAATATGGGATGATCAGTGGAAAGCAAGGGTCACATTGTATGTTTACAGAGGGGGAGGAGTCACTACTTATTACAGCTGAGGTGGAAAATTTTCAGTGTAAATGAATTCAACATTTTCAAATGAAATAGAGGATTTTATACTTATATTTTTCTGTTAAGAATAACATAGCCCACAAAAGAAAAAATTATATTTACATATGTACAGATAATTCAAGAAAGGAAAGAAAACATTTGTGTAGTTAGCCATTATGTATGCATGTGTGTGTGGTTGTGTGTTTGATATCTATGTGAATTATTTGAAATTAACTATTCATATTGTCACAGTAAAGAAATTTTCCTTGGTTGGGACAAGTCCTATTCTTGTCGCTACATCGCTGAGCAATAAAAAGAGAAAGTGATCTTATGTGTATTCCTTTTCTACTCCTGAATAGAATGACACCTAGCGGGTATACTTGTAGACAAGGTACAGTAATACACATAAGAATGAACACAGCAATAATGTTATTTACTAATCTTGATTGTTAGTCAAGTATTGATTACATTAAAATGTGATTTTTATTTTGTGTAAAGGTGTAATTACAAAAGGCTTAGTTATTGATAAAGAAAAGTGAGAAGTGAGAAGCTCAGGGATGGCAGCAATATACATATTTTGGTCTGATCTTACTCTTGTATAGATAAATCATGACAGGAGGAGTTGGGTACTTTCAGAAGTGGTACAAAGAAGCAACTATTTTTCCAGCATCTAGATATAGAAAAAAAAAAAAAAGAAAAATATCTATACTGACTGGGATATGAACAAATTATAATTGGTAAATAGATATATTGTTATGAACAGGCCTCAATAGATAGATTATTATGAACAGAACTTGATAAATATATTGTTATAAACAGGCCTTGATAGATAGTTTGTTATGAACAGTCCTCAGTAGATAAATAGATATGGATAGGTGTAGATAGATCATTGCTCTTGTTGAGCTTCACAACTCTTCCCTCTTGGTAACTTGGAACACTCTGTGGTAGCTATTGATATTTCATTCCAATCATTTATTAAACAGGAACACCCTATTCATAAGACCTCTTTTCATTACCGGTATGCTGACTGGGACGTCTCTTGGACTGACATCTTTAATTTCCCAATTGAACTACTAATGTTTTTTCTTGGTTTAAAGCCAGCATGGACACTTTCATCCCTTCTTGGAAATACCAGATGAAAACTCAATCCTCTTCTTTGTCCATAAATTCTCAAACTCTATTCTTGATTCATCTGGAGTATCCCTGCCTAACTTCCTACTTAGAACTGATTCTTTCATGTTTTCTGCTATCATCTCTAACCTTGATCCCCACAAAGCATGTGGACCTGATGGTATCCCTGTAATAGTCATTAAGAAGTGTGCTCCCCAACTGGTTCCTGTTCTCTTTAAATTGTGTAATAAATGCCTTGCTGCTTCCTGTTTTCCTGCCTGCTGGAAGTTATCATCTCTTGTTCCATTTTTTAAGAACTCTGGTGAACTGTCCGATCCGATCCTTCCAACTATCAGCCTATTAACCTTCTACCTTTTTTTTGGAAACTCCTAGAGGCCCTAATCAATGCTGAATTGGTTCTAATCTCACATCACAGGGCCTTTTCTCAGACAAACAACATGACATTCATTTCTCGAAGACAGCTGCTGATGTACACTGATTATAACTGTGAGAAGAGTCTATCATGCTCTAGATAAAAATACTGAAACCCATGCTGCAGCATTGGACATCTCAAAAGCCTTTGACAGGGTCTGGTATACAGGTTTTCTCCATGAGTTGAAAAGTTATGGTGTCTCTGGACACATTTTTGAACTGATCTAGTCTTTCTTATCAAATCATGAAATGAAAATTATCCTTAATGACCAGTGTTGTTCCTTTCATAATAATGTGTGTGCTCCCCATGGCTCCATCCACAGTATTACTCTGTTTTTAATTTTCATTAATGATCTTCCTGATGACATCAACTCTCAACTTGGTATCTATGCTGATGTCCCAACTATTTACTCCTGTCTCAATGATAAGTCTGATCATTTTGATAAGGTCAAATTGGTGGCTGACGTCATAAACAACCTTCAGTCTGTTGTTAACTGGGGCGTGTTAATTTTAACTCCTCCAAAACGAAATTTATATCTAATAATCATCTGAGAGACCCTTCTCTGCCTTCCATCAGCATGGCTGATATTGACCTCCAGGAGAGTGACTTATTGCACCTTCATCTCATACTTCTTTCTCTCCTTTCCTCTCTTGTTTCATTTCCTTTACCTCTATCTCATTCTTTTCTTTTTTTGTTTCTCTCGCATCTCTTTTTTCTTGTTCTTGTTCTTCTTCTATTTCTTTTTCTCCGCCTCCTCTTTGTTGTAGTTCTCATCTATTTTACTTCTTTTTCTTCTAACCTAATCAGTGTCGTCGCCATCTTTGTTGGTTTCATAGTTACAAAATCTGTCCCTTTTTATATTCATCACATGGATGTAAGACAAGAAGGTACCATATGACCAGATTTATTTAACCTATACATCAAGGCAGTCCTAAGAAAACTAGGAAATGTATTCTTGAATTTATATCTTGAATGAGACCGTGTTGATAGAAAAGACAGAAAGAAATCTGCAGGGATTCCCACACAAGGCAGTAAACAAAACAAGGTCTTTCAAGGCTCCATCCATGGTTTTACTTTGTTTTTAATTTTCATTAATAACCTTCCTGATGGCATCAGCTCTCAACTTGGCATCTACGCTGATGACACTACCATTTACTCCTGCCTCGATAGTAAGGCTGATCAGTCAGACAAGGTCCAAATGGCAGCCGATGTACAAAATGACCTCAAGTCCATCATTAACTGTGGAAAAAGATGGCTTATTAATTTTAACACCTCCAAAATTAAACTTCTCTCCATTAATCATTTGAGAGACTCTTCTCTACCTTCCATCAGTTTGGCTGATGCTAACTTCAAGGAAAGTGACTTGTTGCACCTTCTCACACTATTATTCTTAGCTTCTATGAAGTGGAATGACTATATCGAATCCATTGCTAGGTCAGCTGCTAAGAAACTTGGTTCACTGTGTCATGTGAGGTAATGTTTCTCTCCAGAATCTCTCTTACATGTCTATAAATCTACCATTCATGCTTAGAATATTGCTGCCACATATCGTCCGGTGCTCCTGCTATTTATTTTGTGCCTCTTGATAAGATCCAAAGAAGAATCAGCAATATTATTGGTCCTGATCTGGTAGCTTGACTTCAGTCGCTTTTCCACCGCCATAAAGTTGCCTCTCTCTTCTGTCTCCATGTTTTCCAGCCAACTTTACCTGCAAAAATTTAAATGTAATGTCAATCACTATCTACTGTCTTCCTGATTATGCTTTTCTATTTCCACTCATTATCAATATTTCTGTTCATAATTCTTCTACACTCTGTAGCCCCTTGTGTTTTAGTGGCTTTACTGCCTTGCATGGGGTGATACCAATTTTAATAAACCTTGAGAGATAGATATATAGATCTGAATAGGCCTTGATAGAGAGATAGATTTGAATAGGGCTCAATAAATAAATATGAATAGGCCTCGATATAAGATATGAATAAGCTTAGACAGACAGATAAATCTGAATAAGCCTAGATAGATATATAGATAGATCTAAATAAGCCTAGATAAATAGAGAGATCTGAATAAGCATAGATAGATAGATAGATATAAATAAGCCTCAAAAGACTGATAGTGATAATTATGAACAGGTTGAGATAGATATATAGATAGGTTGATAGATTGTTGAGCTGAATGCTGTAGGTATGAATATAATAGATAATTAACAGACTTAAATAAAAATAATATCACAAGCAAACTGTGTACTAAACCATAGACAGTATTGAGGATTGCTTGGTGAAAATCATTTGTCATTTGCTTGTAAATTACAACAGCGTAAATCAGCAATTCACAGACAGTAGACACTTGATTAATAAAGCATGACAGATGCTTAGACACTTTTACTTAACACCTTCAGAGGAAACATTATTTTCTTTGGCTGATATGTAGGCCAAGTGGGGATTCCCCAGAGACTAAACAGTATTACTGAAAATTTTAGCCTCTGTGTAGAGGAAAAAATGAAGACAAGGTGCAGATTTCAAAAAGGAGATGTTATAAATTAACATTATTTACACTGTTTATATTCGGATTATTCTCCTCATCTTTGTCGTTTTTATCATGCCATTTTGGCCTTTGTGTGTTTGGGGCTTCCTCAGGTGTATATCAATCTGGGTAACCTCCAGGGAATTCTAAACTCTTTATTTAATCTAGGGTTATAGTCTCATATCTAGTTCTTATTTTATTTAATACTATTGCTTACCCATTTCCACTGAGTACAAGTAAATACTGCCCAATCCAGGGATGGATCTCACAACGACTATGTCACCAAATTCACAAAGTAGCATTTTTATCCACTAGGTTATTGACACATAGGACAATTTTCTGGAGTAATCTTAGGGTATTAAACCTAAACTTAGCTGCTGATTAGGCTGTACATGCTGCTGCTGTCATGTTTTGATTGCTGCTTTTGCAAACTTACACACATTTGTCTTTCTTTCTTTATTAGTGATTCCCATATTGTATTTATTTCTATGCTAGGCCTACTAAGGGGATCCTCATAGCCTAGCATATGCGCTGATTCATTCAGACATCTAACTCTCCACTGTTCTTCTTTGTCCAGTATTTATATTTCATTCCACAGTGGCTGATGTCTACCCCTTGCCCTCGATATAATAGTCCGAATATAAATAGTGTAAATAATGATAACTCCACATCCCAGAAATTCAAACAAAAATTGTCAAATTAATATTGTCGGACACTTAACAAGTAGAGTATTAAAAGTGCTATGCAGTTTTAAATAAAATTATTTTGAAACAAGATGACTGCTTCATTGTATGCATATCAATATCTAAAGTGACTATAGAAATCCATCCATTCTTCTCTGGACCAAATGTCTGTTGGTATTAACAAAATTATGAATAATTGCACTCCAGTGGGATCATCCATGGTTGTTGAAGTGTATTGTTTTTGCCTTAATGACATTATATCTTCATCACGTCTAATGATCTTTGTACTGTGTCAGGTGGCTAGGTTTTGAATCCAAGTTCTTCATCTGCTAGCCAACTCTGGCTAGAGAGACCAGTCTGCACTGCTATTTAACTCAGAGGGAAGAATGGAGTGATAAATAGTGGCTTGGACTGAGAAATCGAAGAGCTGAGTTCAAATTCCAGTAGCGTTCCTGACATTCACTTATAAGCTAATACTCTTGGGAAAGGTATGAATCTATTTTTTGCCTCCCAGCTATGGATAAAAATAGCAGAACTGATTGGGCTCTATAGCTTTGGTTGGCAACCAGTCTAAGAGAAGGAACAACTATGAATTCAAACCAGGCTTCATCAGGCTCTCTTGCCCATGGAACATCTCTGCTGCTATGGCTGCAGTAGATGTGATACACCTACAACCCTAATCTCACATTCTGAGCTACTAAACTTTGCACCACCTGGACATTCATGGCTACAGAAATAAAAATGAAAATAAGAAAGCATCTAGTCATTTAATGTTATCTAAAAATAGGCTAAGGTAGCGCTGCATTAGTACCATTCAAAGTACTCTGTTTGGGATTTCAGATACTTTTAAAAACTGTAAAGTCCTCTTTTTGGGTTGGCATCAGTTACCCCATTGCCTTCATATTGATCTCATTGATTGTCTGAAATCTACTCCTTTTCAAAAGCAATAACCAGAAATCAAGGGGTGACAAATGTAGATAGTCATGAATGTGGGGGTGCCTAGAAGCTTGGGTCTTGTCAAAAAAGTGTCTACCTATTAAGCCATTGGGAACAAGAGTGTAACACAACCCATATGTGCAGCCATATAGCATAGAAAAACCAGTTCCCATATGATCACTGAAGTTAAGCAACATCATGCCTGGTTAGTACCTAAATGGGTGACTGCTTGGTAATGCCTGGTGCTGCAAGCTTGGATGTGCAGATGGTGTAATGGATAATAGCTTGAAATTGTCATAGCCAAATTCCAATTCCAGTTGGGTTTGTTATATTCACTTATGTGCAAATAGCCTTGAGAAAGGTATGAATCCACCTCTTCTCCCTCTAACTATGGGTTAATTAGTAACCCTTGTATTACTAAATCATTATTATCTTCAAAAAGAAATGTTGTGGGTAAGACAATAAATTACATCCAACAGCAAGGTCTCTGATCAGGAGATTTTGAGTAGCGTGGAACCACCTCTTAATTACTGGTGTTCTCAGGTCCACCCTGACCCGGGGTGGTGCACCTGTTAGGGCCTCAGCTATGAGCAAATAGTTAACTCCCAAACTGGGGTCAAAGCACTATGAAAGTATAAAAATAGGTTTTAATACCTGAAATACTTTGTAAAAAAATTATTACCAGCAATACATTTTTGAAAAAAACAAATTACCAGCAATAAAAACTTTGTCAGCATTAAATAACACATTAAGGTTGATATACTGTAAAACAAACCAAACCAAACCAATCAAAAAGAAAAATCCTTATAATCTAAAATTGTTTTCTAGCTTTAAATACCATGTAAAGAGTTGATAAACTGTAGAAAACAAATCAATAAATCAACCACAGTAAATATGTTTACGCAGTGGTATGTCCCTGTCAGCTGAGTAGACCTATGGGAGAGTGTCTGTTTATGCATGTATAGTAAAGTAACCTCTGAATCTTTGCCAAGTTACATCACATCTGCACAAGATTTGTTCTGAATGCATCTGGACAAATCTTCTGCAGGACAAGGTAAAAATGATATGGTGCTCAAAGATTGTTTATAATACAAACGAGATTATCCCAAATCTTCCTCTCCAAAATTCTTTTTCTTTATGTGCCATGTTTCCTCATGATGTTGGTGATCATGGCTCTTCACAATCTCCTGTCCCTTGTAGCTATTAATAAATATTTGTCTTTCTGCTATTTCTCTTAAAACCTGTTCTGCCATCCATTTAGTCAAGCTCACTAGGCATAAAATTTGGCTTCACCTGATGATCTGTCTCTTCATCACCAAAGTGATATAGGTGCACCAAGATAAACAGTGACTCTCTCTACCCTTAGGGATGCAGGCTCGATTGCAGCCAAAGAATGCAAATTTTTCTTTAATTAAATTTCTTGAAATTTCAGGCCAGTCAGTGAAAATAAATAAATATAATGTTTAATATATAAATGAACCACCTACTCAAATACAATTATCCACTAATAATAACATTTAAAGTGATTAATATATATATATATGTGTGTGTGTGTGTGTCTGTGTGTGTGTGTGTGTGTGTGGTATTGTCAAGACCATGTGGTTTTATTTGCTTAGGAAAAAAGGTTTTGTTGAACTGTGTATAGTTTCAAGTTATTATATGGGTGGGAGTATAATTACATCTGTCAGTTTTGATTGATCTAATTGGATATGAATTAACTTCTTATTTTTTCTGTTAGTGAGTACATGGCTGAGTGGTTAGAAAATTAGCATTCCAAGCATGGAAACTGAGTTTGAATCACAGCATAGTTGATTTGTCAAGGAGGTGACATCTATATAATATCAGCCTGGGGAGAAAATCACAGGGTGTGGTACCATTGGAATGTGCCTGAAAACCATACGACAGTTTGACCCAAGATTTGTGAGTGAAATTGGATTGATTGAACTGTTTGAAAGCCATCAATGGTTTTAGTAGCATGTAGTCACAAGACATTCTGACCAAGAGCTTGAGCATACTGGCCGTGTCCAAACTGGTGATTAGACCAGATTATGTGGTCTCTCCTAGAAACTGTAATGAATGCCAACTTATAGTTGCAGTATAAACCGGAAGTTGGTTCTGGGACAGTTAAAGGAACAGAAATTTTTCACCTTAGCATACAGGTTTACTCAAAAATGAGCAGCCAACCATAAAATTTTTCCTGATACCAATTTCTTGGATTCAACAAAATGTGTTGAAAAGATGAAATTCACAAAAGGGGAAAAAAGGATTCAATTTTTCCAGTACAATTTGGAGTGTCCATGATTATTCAACCCATAATTTTTCAGGCACTGTAGTTTCTTTCTTTGGCATAGCTTAATCTTTTTAAATCTATGTTTGTACATCTTATCCTCTGTAGACTTAATAAGAAAGGACTTGCCTTGTGGCAGAGTTAGCTGCATATTTCTCATCAGTGGTTGGTATTGGAGTCCACCTATGAATTCAGATACTGATTTTCAAGGAGGCCAAGTGTTTCCTATTTGAAAGAATGGTAAAACACAAGCTTCCAAACCAAAAGTCCTAAATATCAAAATCATTAAATGTTCACAAGTTTTGCGAGTTTGTTAAGGCATTCAAATTTGAATCTACAATCAGATCTGAAATGTCGAGCATACTTTCCTCCACACAGAAATGGTTTTAATTAAATGGATTATATTTATGAGGGGACCAATTGACCATTCAATTAATTGCTGGCTAGTGGACTCTTCCAACTGTCAAGCTGGCAAGAATGCACCTGCTGTCATATAACCAGACCCTCTGTCATCCATCACCCCAGTGCCACACTGTTCTAAGTTCTCTTTACCCACTCCTCTAAAGCGAGAGCAGTTGTCTTCAGAAGAGAACATCAATTCAGAAGATGAAGTCATTGATCCAGATTACAGAGGTGCAACTGAGAAAAGAAACCCATACTACCCCAACCAAAAAGATTTCAATGACCTGATCAGAGATCTTGGGCTCATAAAGTTTGACATCAAGCCTCAAGCAGTGGAAATTTTTAGTTGCAGGTCAGAGAAAGTGTCACCAGTTTTTTCAAGCTTTTCCACATGTCAACATGGGCTTTGCTTCTACCACAATGTAACCGCACTGTTCAAGTCAATTGAAATCACATGCAGCCCCAACAAGTCGGCCCTCTTCAATGACAGCTCAGCCTTTTAACAGGGACATGTATCCATGGTTCACTCAATGCAGTTCAAAGAGTAATACAACAGTGTCAAGATGCCTTGGAATATGAAGAGTATAGTTGGGAGATTATTAACTTCAAAATGGCAGTCTTGATGATGGGTTTCCAAAGCAGCTTTACAAGTTTCTGTATTATCTTTGCCTTTGGGACAGCAGACACACCACTGCATACTACCACAGGTTGGACTGGCTACAGCAGACCGAGTTTAATGAGGGGAGGAACAACATCATATGGGAGCAACAATTAGACCCCAGAAAGTATTGTTTCCTCCACTGCACTTAAAATTGGGTCTTAGGAAACAATTTGTCACGGCTCTAGATAAGGTAACAGAAGCCTTCAACTATCTTCAAGACTCATTCCCTAAGCTGTCTGTTGCAAAATTCAAAATTTGGACCACAAATAAGGAAGATCATAGAGTCCAAGAAATTCCCCAAGAAGCTCACAAGCATGGAGAAAGCAACATGGAACTACTTTGTGATAGTGGTTCGGTGCTTCCTGGAAAATCACAAGGCTGAAAACTACATGGAGCTTGTTGAGACCCTGATGAAGAACTATGAGACAATGGCCTGCAGGATGTCCCTCGAAGTCCATGTCTTTGACACTCATCTTGATAAATTTAAAGAGAACAGTGGAGTGTACTCAGAGGAGCAAGTCAAACATTTTTCACCAGGATATACTGAACTTTGGATGCTGCTACCAAGGATTATATAGCAAAAAATGATGGGGGTAGCTATGTTCATAGTGTAAGAGTAAATCATGAAAAAGTACTTCTAAATTTTGTTGTGGTCTCTCTTGTGTAATCCTATAATAAATAAATTCTACTTTTGAATAATATGTTGTTTTGTTCTACTTTGTATAAATAAGAATGTTTACATTCACCAGGTTTTCCAATCAGCATAGATAAATTTCAGAAATATCATTATGCTGATCATAAAAGCAAAGTTTAAAGAAAATATTAGCCATATTTTGTACTTTCTAGACATAAGCAAATAGGAAATAATAGCTGTTACCCAAGGACAAAAATCTTGTTAGACAGTGTTATCCTTTCTCCTCAATAATGGCATCCCATTTTCTTCCACTTTCACTAACTTTTTGTTTCTTAGCAGAATTATTGCCTTGAAATGATTAAAAAAAACAAATAAAAATATATATACATAGGCAATGTAAGTTTTATAAACTATATTTTGAAAACATATATATACATCAACAACAGTGAGACTTTCTTGAATGTAATTTACATACCATAAAATAGGGTCAAATTACTTTCTTGAAATTAACTGATACAAAAGTCAAATGATATATAAATGATTTGGAGTCCCAAAATTACATTCTCTACTAGGGTGTGTCTTCAATTCCAAGATTATTTTCTGACTCTCACAAAGATGAATTGTCCAAAAATCCAATTTCCAATAACATTATATATTCTTTCGACAATAATCTTTAGAAAAATAAATAATTTGACTGTTTTCTATAAGTCTAAAATAAAGAATTCTAAAATTTAAGAAAAATCAATGACAAAATAAAATTATTTTGTTGGATTGCAAAACACAAAAACGTTCACAAAATACACATTTCTATTTGATGATAATTTCTTTATGGAAAGAATATTTGCAAATAATGTCAATGAGTTTATGTTGACTCAGCTTTTTTCATATACTTTTTATTTTATTTTTCATTTTCTTTTCATGCAATATATTTTCATCATTTTGCATTTTTTAACTGCCATTTGTCTTCCAATTTTAACAGTCTTTTTATTCTTTCTTTCTTTCTTGCTTTTTTTCTTAAACATCTTTAATTATTTTCTCATTTTTTCATGCTTCACAGATTTTCTTTCTTTCTCAACCATCATTTTTCTTATTATTTAATTTTCATTAATTTTTTCTTTCTTGACTGCTGTTTGTCTTCTTGCTTAACAGTCATTTATTCATTCTTTCTTCTTTCTTTCTTTCTTTCTTTCTTTCTTCATAATCATCATTTGTCTTCATATTCATTCTTTCTTTCTTTCTTTCTTTCTTCATAAGCATAATTTGTCTTCCTAATCATTCTTTTTCTTTCTTTTTCCTTCCTTTCTTCATAATTATCATTTGTCTTCCTATTCATTCTTTCTTTTTCTTTCTTTTTTTCTTCATAACCATCATTTGTCTTCCTAGTTATTCTTTCTTTCTTTCTTTCTTTCTTTCTTTCTTTCTTTCTTTCTTTCTTTCTTTCTTTCTAACCATCTTTTGTCTTCCTATTCATTCTTTCTTTCTTTTTTCATAACCATCATTTGTCTTCCTAGTTATTCTTTCTTTCTTTTTTTCTTTCTTTCTTTCTTTCTTTCTTTCTTTCTTTCTTCATAACCATCTTTTGTCTTCCTATTCATTCATTCTTTGTTTTTTCATAACCATTATTTGTTTTTCGACCTAATAATTTTTCTCTTCATTTTTTAGTATTTTTTTAAAAAATTTATTGGATTTTTCTTTTTACTTCCCTCATTTTTCCTTTAATTTTTTTTACTTTTTGCTTTTATAAGTTATTCCTTTTTTTCCTGAAAATTTCTTTTTCATTCTTTTTTTTTTCACTTTTCATATTGCAAATAATATTCTTCTTTTTGTTTATTATCATTTTTCTTTTGCTTTCACGTTTTCATTTTCTTTCTCATTTTTTCTTTTCCTTGACATGTGGACTTTACTTTCCCATTCCCCACTCTTTTTTTCTATTTTTTATTTTCCTTTTTCTTTTTTCCCTTTTTCTTCTTTTTCTTCATCTTATTTTTCTTCTTTTGTGTTTTCCTTCTGTTTTCTGTTGCAATTATTCTTAATTCATTCCTAATTTCTTTTTTCATGAAAAACTTTCCTCTTTCATTTTTTCTTCATAATTTTCATTTTCATTTTCTTTCCTGTGTATTTCTTTGATTTTTTTTCCCTTTTCTTTAGGAAATCCTTATCTACTTGTCCCAAAAATGTCTGATATTCATTGCATTGCACAAATTTACTTCTCAACCATCTAAAAACACATTTCTACATTCTTTTCTTTCTTACCCTTTATTTCCACTTCAAAAAATCTGAAAGCAAAACTTGTTCAATGAATCTTTTAGATAAATGACAACTTCAAAAACCGTTTCCCAAAAGATATCCACAAAGAGCAAAAGGGACACAAAGATGGAGAAATTGATGAAAGTCCATTGTCAAGAAGACTAAACCCAGCTATTTCTAGGCATCAGCCATTTTAGACTCAGAGAGGGACAGAACAATCTTTCAAATTGTTTTCCATTTGTGGAAAGAATTGGTCAGTCTTTTACATGAAGAACAAAAAGAAATAAATAAAAAATTGGATAAAGAAAGGAAAGATAAAAAAATAAATAAAAGATCAAGCATAAGAAAAAAAAGAAAATAAAGAGATGATTGGATGGTGAAAAATGATGCAGTTCAGTCCTGTGTCGTGTGGGATACACACTCAGGCAATCATGTATCTTTCGATACATGACTAACGAGGCAGATTTTTTCCCGCAGTAGGTTGCCATTACTTTCTGCGGTAGACCAGTTGTCATCCACCTATAGAACCTGGTCTGTCCTGCTATTTACTCATAGCTGGGGGGAGAAGAAAAGGATTTATACCTTTCCCAAGGGTATTAGCACGTAAGTGAATGTAATGGATTTGACTGGAATTCAAACACAGCTCTCCGATTCTTTAATCCGAGCCACTATCCATTACTCCACTGTGTCTCTGAAAAATGATCCACACTACTTAAATAGGCTGGTCCACTCATGAAAAATAAGGAAAAATTTGGTATGGAAATAATTTTTGCACATTATATTCTTTAAACTTCTCTCAGGCTAAAATACTTGTCAGGATTTTTAAAAATATTCATTTTTCATCAGTTTAGAAAAGGGGTTCTGTTCATAAAATCAAAATAGTGAAAAATCGATCCGTGATTTTTACAGATTTATTAGACTTAGCAGTTATTTAGAAATGGCTTGTTTAAAATTTTCTGAAATTCTTTATTTTTTTTCCACTTTTAAAAAATTATTTTTTATGGAATTCTTTTATGTGTTAAAAGGTTATTTGGGGTTAATAATTATTTATATTAAATAGAGAATAAACGGAAATATTTGATTAATTTATGTAAATTTTTGTTCCTTAATTAAAAATGTTTATATTGGTTTGTTCTTTATTTAGAAGAATTCTTTTAGTAACTCCTGACCAAAAAAATTTGCTTTCTTGGGGAAAACAGCAAAGTCTAACAACTCTGTAAAAGTCAGTGAATGATTTGACACTGTGTTGTTATTAAAGACAGTACTCCTTTCCTAAATCGTTAAAAATCACTATTTTTCGATTCTGACACATTGCAGTCTAAAGAAGATCTAAAGAATGCTAATGTACAAAAATTATTTCCTTAAAATCTTTCGCCATTTTTTATGAGTGAACCAATGTATTTAAGTTGATGACGTAAGAAATCTCAGGGTTGATAAAGAGAAAAAAGATTTATAAGAAATGGCCAGGTGCAGGACTGAAGAAAAAAAGAAATATGAAGAGAAACCAGAAATAAAAGAAAGGAAAGACATGAAAGAAAGAAGAAAGTTTGGTTTGGTTTGGATTGTTTTATGGAATATCAACCTCAATGGGTTATATAATGCCAACAAGATTTTTATTGCTGGTAATATTTTTCCCAAAAATGTATTGCTGGTATTTTTTTTTCCAAAAATGTATTGCTGGTAATACTTTTTCTTCAAAAATGTATTTCTGGTTATATTTTTTCCTTCAAAAATGTATTGCTGGTAATAATGTATTGCTGGTAATAATTAATTACAAAAATGTATTGCTAATAATATTTTGTCCTTCAAAAATGTATTGCTAGTAATATTTATTTTCTTCAAAAATGTATTGCTGATAATTTTTCCTTAAAAAATTCATTGCTGGTATTAAAACCTATTTTACCAGGATGTGGATGGGTTTGGAGTTAACTATTTTCCCATAGCTGAGACCCTAACAGGTGCTACCACTCTGGGTCAGGGTGGATGTAGGAACACCAACAATTAAGAGGTGGTTTCATGTGCCTCAAAACCTCCTGATCAGAGACTTGCAGTTGGATGTAGTTTGTTGTCCTACCCAGGAAGCAGATGTAGTTTATCATCATACCCAGGATGGAAAGAAGGAGGAAAAGATTGAGTAGAAAATGAAACAAAATATAATAAAGAAAACAAATAAGCTAAAAAAAAAAAAAATGAAAAGAAAAGTTACTAATGTAGGAACAGAAACAAAGAAGAACACCTGTTTTTTGTGATGCACAGAGAAAAAGGCTGAAACTTTTAGGGGATGAAAATAGATAGAATGAGACATTGATGGTTAACATGATGGAAACTGCAAGCATGGTCTTTTTCAGCCATTAGAATGCTTGACGACAACTCAAAATTTTTTTTTTTCTTCTTCCAGATTCTGTGTCCCTTCAGGACATAGACATCTCCACAATTTTCTATCCTTTATAGCTCTTTGAAAGTTTTGACTTTCCATTATCACCCTTAATCCTAGTTCGGTTATCCATTTACACAAATTTGTTAGGTAGATTACTCACTGCTTTTCCTCTGTTTCTCTTGCCTTCAATATGTACTGTGAGTGTCACATTCTCCAGGCCCTCTGTTCCTCTGCACTTAGAGTGGGAAGAAAAGTTATATGAGACTGGCTATTGGAAAGTTGAAAAAACACAAAAACCACACGAGACGTGGTAAACATAACTTTATTCAAACTACCCCAGGATTCATTTAGCTCCCAGCATTCTCTAGTGGGACTGGAAGTGCTTACAATCATCATCATCATAATTAACATTATTGATGTTGTTATAACATCCTCTTTCCTTATTATGTATCCTAAACTGATCTAAATCATAAGCACCTGGCTAGTTCACAGATCCTAATGTGATCCTGTAAATATGTGTGTGTGTATCTATGTGCGCAAATTTATCTGTACATGTTTCACAAGTGTGCAAATATGTTAGAGTATAAAGACACACAAATGAATACACACAAACATATATACATATATATATATATATATATATATATATATGATGTAGGGGTTGTGTAATGGATAGTGGCTTAGAATGAGAAATCAGCAAGTTGAGTTCAAATTTCAAGTTCGTTACATTCATTTTCCAACAAATATCCATCTCGTCCCACTCCAGCTATTGGTTAAATAGGGGAGACTAGTCTTTGTAGTCTTGGCTGGCAACCAGTCTAGGAAAAGGAAAACTGTATTAGAACCATATGTATCCCTGATGAAGCATATACTATAGAGCCTTCAACATGTTGATTGAGTTTATAGTGACTCAATAGCCTTGACTGCAGTTGACCTACAACTGCATCAGTTTATTATTACTATTATTATTATTATTTATATACAAGGCAGTGCTAAATGTCCTCCACCCAGACTGTTTTTCAAAATGGAACAAAATAACCAAACATCACTTTTTTTTTTCATATTTTTTACGATTATGTCAAGAATTTTTAATACCCTTTCATATACATGTGTACATATTTTAACATACATATATATATATATATATGATTGGTAAAGTTTCCAAATATAATTATACCAACACAAAATCTGCCAAATGAAAACTTTGAAACAACAAAAGAAAAAATAAAACAAGCAACAAATAAAAAAATGAATAAAGAAAAGGAAACGAAAACATCAAATACAAACAGAAACCAACCAATGCAATGACCAAAAGTTCTCAATAACTGTAGCAAATAGGCTAAGACAGAACAGTAACGCTAACTAAAGTAAAATAGGTTTTTCAAACCCAAGTTGCTGCTATTGCTCTTTCACATATTGATGGAGGTTTCCTTCCTTGCTTTTTGTTTGAAGTAGTGTGGAATGTCAACATCTTGATTATAATATTATTTTCTCTTCACATTACATTTGCTAACCATGTGGACAGCAAATGGAGATAAGCTAGATTGGTGAGAATTGAAAAAGCTTATCTTTATAGGCAATATTTTTCAGAGTTGTCCTTCTCCTAGATCAGTTGCCATCCAAGGTTATAGAACCCAGTCTGTCCTACTATTTATCTGTAGCTGGAGGGAGAAGAAGAGGATTAATACCTTTTCCAATGGTATTAGCACATAAGTGAATGTAATGGATTCAATTGGAATTTGAACTTGGCTCTCCTATATATATATATATATATATATATATATATATATATATATATATATATATATATATGTATGAGAATTTTTCAGCACCCCTCATAAATTAACCAATCAGTGCTAAATATGTCTTTAATAAAAATAGCACAAAGAATGTGTTCAACAAACTGAATTACTCATAGAATGATAATAACTTTCCTGAAAACTATAGACAGTATATAAAAATAATTTATAGACACATGCACCACACACACACACATGCACACACATACACACACATGCACACACGCATATATATATATATATGCATATGTGTGTGTTCATATGCATATCTTTGCTGTCTATTGTTGTTCAGTCAAAATTAATTTAGCTTTTGCCTTAGTCACAATTTTAATTAAATAGCTTCATTGCTCTTTCATTAAAAGTGTTTGTATTTAATTGTCTCAGACGATAACACTGTTTTTTTTTTTTAATTTATAGCAATGATCTGAAATAATTAAGGGTTTATGAATATCTACTAAATAATTCTGAAGTACGCCTTCTGGATCTGATTACATTTAAACAGCTTCAATGATCTTTGATCCCTTTCAATGACAATAGATATATATTCAAGATTATTTTGTTGATACTAACAATGGTCTTCAAATGAATTTGTTTACCAGAATGCTGACACAATGAGATCCTCCTAAACTGGTTAATGGACTGCATCATCACCGTTGATAAGACATGATGGCCCCACTACAAGCTGGATTCCAAATGGCAGTGCATGAAATGATGATATGCAAATTTCTCTTCAAAGAAATAACTCAAGAGACAGCCATCAAAAGGCAAATGGATGTACATTGTCTTTTGGGATAAGAAAGGCATGATCTTTCACAATTTTCATGGAACCCAGACAAAGCAGCAACTCTGACCATTACAAATTCAAGTTGCAATCATCAGAAGGTGAAATGGCCTGCATTCGCTTTTGAAAAAACCAGGTTAAATACCCATCCTGAATATTTTATCATAATGCTGATGATGGTCTGAATTTACAGATTTAGTCCAAAGAAGATGATAACCTTTTGTACAATAATAACAAGCCCTGTACTAGTCTGAAGACCAGGGGTCATGTTGCAAATTTAATCTGGCCTGTCCTATCATATGTCCTATATAGTCAATTTGGCATCTGACTTTCATATATTCAGACTGATGGATTGATTGACGGATTTGATTTTTACAATTTATTAACATTTTGTAGGTTATTTAAAACTGAAATATATGTTGAGTTGTTAGAATAATCATTTTTTGTAAGTGAATATAGCATTAACAATTCTTAGAGAATAACTGATTTTTCCAGATATTACTATTTAGCCCATAGCTGGAGGGTGAAGATGGATTTATACTTTTGTCAAGGATATTTGTGCGTAAGTGAAGGTATGAACCAATGAAGTTTGTCTATGTGGTCAAAATTTTTCAGATGATGATGCCATCTTCACTGCTGGTACTCAGTAGATTCCTCTGCTGATGCAGATATTTACGAGGACATCGTACATGGTTGTGTTTGACACTAGTGTAAAGAGTAGTGGCCATTTAAATGTATAATGATTTGTAACTGAAACCAAGCTGGCAAAAAAATACTGAGAAATCTAATTTTTTATCAGTTTAGCAACACAAATGTCCACTTGCATGCAATTACATATATAGACTCAAATACATACATATATACCAGTATATATGGTTTAAAGATCAGATTGAAAAATGAAACTGACATTCCACATGCAGTGTTGATTCCTATGTTCATACTATATATATATATATATATATATATATATATATATATATATACGTGTAATACCAAGTGTAAAAGCATAATTGTCTATCCCATAAAATATTTAATATCTAAAATAACTACTAATTTATGTTTTCAGATAAGACATTTAGCAATCTTGAAACCATTTTTTGAAAGAATCAATGATAAATCATTTGAGTTAATCAGTTAAAAAAGAGCAGGTTAAAACTGTTTTGTGTCAGGCCCACTGTCTTCCCAACTGAGCAATGGTGAGAGGAAAAAGTTCATTCAGGCCTTCAGTAATGGTACCAACATTCATACTCTGGCTTTTATCTCCAATACAAATGTCCACTTGCATGCATTTACACAAATAGACTCAAATACATGCAGTAGATATGGTTTAAAGATCACATTGAAGCACGAAATTGACATTCCACATGCAGTGTTGATTCCTATGTTAATACTATATATATATATATATATATATATATATATATATATATGAATTGAAAAAAATGTGGATTAATTCTGATAGAATTAATAAATAAGGAATAAATAGGAAAACATTTATAAATTTGATATGCTTCTTGTGATTTCATAAAAAGATTTAGGGAAAAATGTTTTGTTTCCCCCAAATTTCTAATTAAACTACAATAAAGTTAGTGAAATATGTAAAATTTATAAACATTTCCCTATTTGCTCCATTTTTAATTAATTAGTTAATCATATATATGCTATCTTGTGCATAATAGCTCCCCTAATGCAAGACCACATTTCAGAAGGATGCTTGAAAATATCAAGTATAAATTCAACTCATGTTTCATTTTTACTTCTAGTATACACCTGACTAATATTTATCTTTTATCTCAAGTCGAAACATGACAATTGTCTACTATATGATTCCAGTATAAACTAAAGCAATGTTTACATTTTGACTCAAGTATAATAAAAACAGATTTCAACACTGAAAAATCCCAACAAGAGTTGATATGTCATTAAAGCTCCTAAATTTCATTGTATCTTTCTCTTAATCTTTGTATTACATTATCATTCTCATTTGAACTTATCTGACCTCCTATCTATCTATCTATCTATCTATCTATCTATCTATCTATCAGTTTGA